GCCCCGGGTCTTCCACTCCCTGGCCCCCCTTGCTCTTTTGTGCTGAGTGGCGCCTGGCAGATTGGTCGAGGTTTTAAAGCCACGCATAGGAAAGAGCTCAAACACAATGAAGGAAACGCAGCAGGGAGGGGAGAGATGGGTGCCCAGAAATAGCCGGTGTGATGCCTCCGCCGTAGCCCCCGGCTCTTAGAAGGGAAAGAAATACTTAGGCCTAATGGCCAAGGCTGTTCCCCGGTCACCGATACCACATCTGTGAGAATGGAGAGAAGTGTAAAGTCATTATCCGTCCTACATTCATTCCCACACAAACACTGGCTTGCCATGCCGGTGGCTCAGGCCAAAGGGTGAGGTGTCGCTCATCAGCAGCGAAGCAGGATGGGAAGGTGCACCACCTTCCTGCACGGACTGGTGGCCCTCCCTAACAGGGAGGCCTTTGTGACAAACTTCCAATCCCGACCTATTTTTACAGATTCAAAGGGAAGGAATTAAAGCAAGTGCCGTGGGCCACTGACTTTCTGATTTGGGCTGCGGTACCGCAAGGCAGCTGGCCATCACGCTGGTTGTATGCCGGCAGGGACTAGGAAGTAATCTCTACAGAGAGATTGCTTCTGTGAGAGCTCTGGCTTGGCTTGGTGTTCCTCTTGTTCTGCAGACTCACTTTTTTCTTCTTCTATTTTTTTTTTTTAGGAGGGAGAGAAATTCCCCCTTCTTTCCCAGCTGTTTCGGCTTTGAACTCCTTTTTGCTTTTCATACTTCTGGCCAAAGCTCTTTTCCTCTCTAGCTTTGCCTGTTCTCATCCGTGAAAGCTTTTCCAGGAGGGACACTGGTTTACTCCTTAGCCCTGCCGCTCACCCTAACTATTGCAGAGACCTCCCCTGCCTCCTGGGCTGCCCAAATCCAGACTTCTTATTTTTTTCCTCTATGGACGAGAACACTGCTCCTTTCCCTTGGAAAAATCCCCTGGCTCAGCACTGATTTCAGGCTCTGATATGAAGCACTTTGTTTGTAAAGCCTCTCTTGTTTGGTTCCCGCTCACCTTGCCTGACCTCCTCCTCCTCCTCCTCCTTCTTCTCCTCCTCCTGGCCCCAGGCTCCCCGGGCAATCCGGCAGCAACCTCCCCTCTGTCCTCTCTCTGAACCTCGTCCTGGCACTGGGAAAGCCACCCCCGAAACCCAGCCTGCCTGGCAAGAGCTCCCCTGGAGCTCCTCACACCTTCCTTCCCTGGCCATGGTGCATGCCTCTTTCACCCCGCCTGCCGCGCCATTTCCTTTCTCTGGTTCCCTCTTCCCTCCATGGGGTATCCAGCGTGGGAGGGGACAGGATGTCAAACTGCAATGCCCGGAGAGTCTTGATGAATAAAGTGGGAGTCCTCTCTGGTTTGCTTCTAGCTCCTCTTCCCTGGATTTGTGCTGCAAATACTGTTTCTTCTTGTCAGGGGGGCAGCAGTCTCTCCCTGCCCCACTGTGGCACCCCAGTGGCCGTGGCTGGTGGTCCTGTGGCCTGGCCCTGGGCAGCCAGCTTCTACCCGCAGTCCAGC